TCCCTGCAGACACCTTAAACAGAACTCTTTGCTAGCATATCAGCTGACCAACAGAGCCATTGGTTACCAATTGCGAATATTGAATTTTGGGTCATATGGAAAATACCAGATAGGTAAGAGCAACTCTAAACTATGTACCTTAAATCATTTTGTTATACAAGGTTTATACCTGAGACTCAGGGGCTGCCACAAAGAAGAGGGAGTCAAGCTATTCTCCAAAGCGCCTGATGGCAGGACAAGAAGCAACGGATGGAAACTAATCAAGGAGAGAAACAACCCAGAACTAAGGAGAAACTTCCTGACAGTTAGAACAATTAACCAGTGGAACAACCTGCCTCCAGGAGCGGTGAATGCTCCAACACTGGACATTTTTAAGAAGAGACTGGACAGCCATTTGTCTGAAATGGTATAGGGTTTCCTGCCTGAGCAGGGGGTTGTACTAGATGACCTCCAAGGTCCCTTTCAACTTCTTCTTCTTCTTCTTCTTCTTCTTCTTCTTCTTCTTCTTCTTCTTCTTCTTCTTCTTCTTCTTCTTCTTCTTCTTCTTCTTCTTCTTCTTCTTCTTCTTCTTCTTCTTCTTCTTCTTCTTCTTCTTCTTCTTCTTCTTCTTCCTCTTCTTCTTCTTCTTCTTCTTCTTCTTCTTCTTCTTCTTCTTCTTCTTCTTCTTCTTCTTCTTCTTCTTCTTCTTCTTCTTCTTCTTCTTCTTCTTCTTCTTCTTCTTCTTCTTCTTCTTCTTCTTCTTCTTCTTCTTCTTCTTCTTCTTCTTCTTCTTATTTAAGCTAAAGGTAATCTTTAACAAGTCAGAGTATCAAATGGTGCATCTTTTTTGCCATAACTCCCCTTGTAAACAAATCAAGTATTAATTTTTTGAGTAGGGGGTCAACAACATCTTATGTGAACTGAAAAATCTTTTTAGGTCATTTCAGTATGGAGAATGAGAGGAATTAAAAGTGGGAGATTCGCGTACCAATGTTGTTTAGCCATTAAATTCTATTTGATCTGGTCACTGTCCTAAACCAAGCCATCTCTCAGAGTTGTTACAAGAAAAAACTTTGAGCAACTTGGATATGAAGTTATAAACAGACAACAGTATTTTAAACACATTATTCTCAATCTTCCTTATACTGCTTTAGTCCTATCATATATTGTGTGTTGTATGAACCAATAAGATGAAATAAGAGGGAACAATAAACTGGAATTGTTGTTCCTCTGATTTGTGATATGTCTACTGTGTTTCCAGTTGGATTTGTTTGCTGCCGTTTAAAATCCATTTCCATTTTTAGTGAGGATATGGTACCATTGTATTCATTTTAATCTGACAAGAGAGATAATCTAAAATTTGGGTGAATTATTCAGGTTTTTCCTGTAGATTTGATTAAAAATCCTTGTTCAGATAAAGTTTTTAACTGGACATTATACAATGGCTATTGATTTATTCTACATTTCCAATTTAAGAAGCGGGGCCAGATATTTAGAAATAATGCTTATGCCCAATTTTTATCAAATACTGCCCATTTTTGGCTTTTCCATTTTGAATTTTCAGTTTAAAATCTTGGACATAATGTTAAAGTTTTACAAATGTGGAATTAATTATATAATATTTATAAGCTTTTAAGCTCATAATTCACACATATATGATTTTTTTTTAAAAAAAGAAAACCAAACAAACCTAAAAATGTCTTCAGTTGAATTCAAAATTTGGAGGAGAATCCTATCTCTTGTTGATGTTTTAACATTGCATTTGTTGAAATAATTGCTTTTATGTTAGGCACCTTCACATGTCTGCAAACGTGCTCCTTAGACAGCTGTGAGAATCCCCTTGTCTGGCTCTTTTTGTATCCTTGCCGGTCTTTCTGAATCTCTTCCTCTGGATTTGCCACCTCACTTTCTTTGGATTCCTGGGATAGCGCTGCAGTTGCCAAAGAATGTTTTTAGACAAAAGGAGAGTCATGTTATGTAACACTGATAATAGTCTGCTGGAATAATTTTATTCCAGCCCAACGGTAGTTAAAATATCAGGAACACAGCTGGAGAAGTAACCCAGTTCACTGTAACTAAATAACATATGCTGATAAATGCAGCAGAATTCTCTGTTTAGATCAGGGGTAGTCAACTGGCTCAGGAATTCTGGGAGTTGAAGTCCACGAGTCATAAAAGAGCCAAGGTTGACTACCCCTGGTTTAGCTCCTTCACCCTTGAAGAGGTTTTTAGAGACCTTTCTGTCTTTTTGTCGAATGGCTGTTAAGTCAGTGTCCAAATGTCAGTCTATTGAGTCTATATTCTAGTCTAGAGTGGGTAGGAGAGCATCAGAGGTGGCTTCCTAAAACAAATGATATAAACAAAAAGGGAGGGAAAGCTTGAGGAACATTGCTTCTGGAATTCTTTCCAACCTCATTACTGGCACGGGCCATAGGAAGCACCTCTGTTTGTGCCAGGTTGCATCAGAATAAGAAGTTTCTGGGATTTCTTCATGTCTGCATTTGTTGATGTGTATGTGTGTTCTGGAAAGAACAGGACGGACTCCATATGGTGTGCTTTAGTTCAGGAAGGGGGAGGGGAGCTCAGAATGGGAAAGTGACTAACATTTATGATATGTTACTAACATAAGATGTTGCCCAATTGCTTCTCCTGTGGAGATGCATTCTGGGAGACATAGTGATTTTTTTTTTTCTCCTATTCCCAGATACAGTCTATTTTTGAATTAGATTTTTCTTTTGCCAGCTTCTCCCCCTAGGCCAAATCTGATTCTGTTGTAACAGATTTGGGGAATTTTTGCCTTTATAAATGGATACATAGATAGGCAGAGGTTCAGTCTCCCTAAGTAATTTCCATTGGATTAGAAAGAATGGAAGGAATTCAAAAGTCATTCTTAGCTTAATAATATTTTGATGTTTGTTTCAGTGGCTAAATCACCAGGCTAGAAACCTGGAGACTGTAGGTTTTAGCACTGCCATAGGTATGTAATCTAGCTGGGTGACTTTGAACCAGTGTTTCATAAAACTGCATTTGTCCTTTTGATTTTATCTAAACCTTTTACTTTCTAACATGTTTTTTTTGTCTTATGACCCAATAACCATTTTTGCCTCTCCTTATTTCTCTTTCCTTTTTAAAAATAAATAGCAGCACCATGTCATTCCTTGTTAAGTAGTTTCATGTTTCCCTAACATGATTTCTGAAATATTAAACATACTGCTTATTTCTAAACTAAAGTTGCTATGATTGGATTAGATTCTATTCCATACTACACCAGAAAATGTTCACTTATGGCACTATAACCATTTAATGCAAACCTAGAAGGCAGATGAACTGAGAAGGAGAAAATACAATTGCACAGATGCACATGGAGTAAGAGAACAAGGAACTAGAGGAAATTAGAGGTAAAGAAAGTAAAGAAAGATCAAGACAAATAATCATTTCTCTCGTTCTGCACTAATCAGACCACACCTAGAACATAGGAACGGCACTGACAAACTGCAGTGTGTCCAGAGACCGACCAAGATGATTAGGAGATAGGAGGGAAAAACAAGAAGAAAAAGCTTGCCAGGATTGGTTAGAAGCATTGAATATTCTGAACCAGAACAAGAGAAAATCGGAAAGAGACATGACATGTCTTCAAATAACTGAAGGATTGACAGGGAGAACATAGGGCAGAGTTGTTCAGAATCATTCTAGAAGTTAGAACTAGAATTAATGGTGTTAAATTAAAGTAGATTTTGGTTAGGCAACAGGAAACATATCCTAACAATAAGATCTGTTTCAAATGGAACAGACTGCCTTGGAAAGCAGAAGACTCACCTTCACTGGAGGAATTTAAACAGACTAGATGAATATTTCTCAGGGATGCTATAGGAGTGAATTCCTGCAAGGGCTGAATTAAATGATCTTCAAGATTTTTTTCCAAACTTTCATTCTGTGATTCCATTATTATCATGCATGGTATTCCACTATTTACACGATACCTTTGGATCTGTCATTATGGTTAGAGCTAGGAAATCGGGAATGGTCATTCCTTGGGCTCTGGTAGGAATTTCCCATTATTTCTTTTAATGGCTTTAGCCTTGGCTTAGAGTGGAATGGGACACCCTTTGATAGCCAACCAATGAATGTCAGGTGATACAGTATTGTGTGTATTGAATTCTTAATTGGGTGAAACAACGTGCAAAGCAGACAGGTTGGGTTTTGCAGGATCCAATCTGGGTCAACCACCGGAACCTAGAGGGAGGTTTAAACCTCATAGTCCCGGTGACCGACCCAGATTGGCTCCTGCAACATTATCCTGGGACACGTATGTTCACCTTCATTCGTAAGATTAAGTTTTGTTGTTTCTTTTTTTAAAAAAATTAAATTGGTTCTTGTCTTTCGTTTCTATGTTTCATTTTTTTTCCTGTTATTCAGGCTACAATACAATTCTGTTGTGCTTCCTCTTTGGAATGGCAGAGAACCCTGCCTCTAAAGTACTTAAGGAATTATGTTGGCAATTTTTAGCCTCCGTTTTTTGTCTCTGTGTTTTCTCAAATGGGATCTACAAGGGGTATCTCGGTGAGGTGTACTGTTCACTCTTGATCATTATGAAACAAATGGATTAGCTGCGGGAATTCTATGATCATAAAACATCTTCATGGGAAAGTATTTATTATAAAAGATGCAGGGGAAAAGATCCAATCAGAAACCTTTTTGAAGCTTTCCATCCCCATAGTTCTTTCTATTAATAACAATTCTGCTTTTAATGCATATATTACAATAGTATTTTGCACTGTGTATTAACAAGAGTGTTGCCACATTACTGTTAGAAATGTTTAAACAACATTTAAAGTTACCGATGGAGTTTGATCCATTTACACCAATATTCAACAAGATATATCCTTTTTTGGTGATTCATTGTTGTGATTGTCACTATCACCATCATCCCTTCTTGATAGTATATCTAAAGACATTTAGTTAATGTACTTAATGAAGCCACCACTAATGTGAAATACTTTTTTCCCTTCCTGTCTTTTTAAAGCTGGCCTTTGCCGGAGTTTAATCCAAGTCAGATACGACTAATTGTGTACCAAGACTGTGAAAGAAGAGGGCGAAATGTTTTATTTGATTCCAATGCCAAGAGAAGAACAGAAGATGTGTCAATCTCGGTGAGCAATCTAATTAATTAAAACCTAATATACTGCACACTGTTTTTCAAATATTATGTGTGCTTAATCCATATAGGCTTTAATATCTGATTCTTAACTGCACTTCTAAGGTAAATGTTTGTTATTGCTATGTTTAAAAATGAATGTATCCACCCATTAGGAATATATAAAACTCACTAAATTGTTCCTGGAATAGCTTTGTGTGGAGGAAGTTTGTCATGGTCTGGACTGGGAATAAAATATGCCAAGACTTCACTTAACATTCATTCTTGAATCTGCAAGCTTTGCACAATCTCACAACGTACTACCATTTAGTGATTGTTCTAAATTGGCATGAAAGGCTAATGCTCTACGGCAGGGGTGTCAAACTCACAATGTCACGTGACGCGTTGTGACATATCGCAACTTTTTTTCCCTTGCCAGCAATGGGGTGGGTGTGGTTTCGGCATGACGCATCCAGCCCATGGGCCGGCAGTTTGACACCACTGCTCTAAGGGTTAGGTACTATCTCTCTTGAATACAGTTTGACTCCAGATAATTATCCTGGATACAGTACTTCAATGTAATTTGCTTGGCAACAGTTCAGAGGTGATTTGTGACTGTCTTCTTCTAGGGTAGTTTTTTTTGACAATGTAGTCTAAAACTCTGCTATTTCCTTGTGATCTCTCATCCTACTACTAATCAAGTCCAACGCTGCTTAGCTGTTTTGAGATCAGCAAATGTCAGTTGGTGCTGCTACCTATAGTGCTCCTTGACTTTAATGGCTTAACTGTAATTCTACTCTCTTCCTTTTAATCTACTCTTTTATTGGTTCTTAGATTCCTTTTTGGTTAACATCAAGGTTTCCCCCAACCACCACCACTTTCAAATAAAAAATAAATCAAAAGTACTATAGAAATTTTGAGGGCATGCTCTACTAACTGCTAATCCTAAATCGGGGTGATAATTGTTTGGCTGTAAACAGATTGAAGAAATACAGGTTGTTGACTATATTTCTTTAAGCTGCAATGCTAAATTCTTAAGATGAAAACTATTGTATGCACAAAAATGGAAGGACATTTCGATTCCCACTATGGATGAATGGCTACAGAAGCTGATGGAGTTGGCAGAGATGGCTAAATTGAAAGTTTTGATTAAAGAAAATAACATAAGTATTTTAGTTTTGAGATGGAGACCTCTTTTGGATTTTGTGCTTAAGGTGGGAAAAAAATGAAACTTTGATTTGGGGTTTTACTGATTAGATGGATTTGTTATTATAGAAATGGCTAGTTTATATTACTTTGGAAAAGTAAAAGGTGGAAGTTCGATGTTAATGCTTTATTTTACTACAACAGAGGAAGTCAGTCAGTCTTTCTTTTCTTTTTCCCTTTTCCCCCTCACTTCTCTTTCCCTTTTCCCTCCCCACTGGGTCCTACTATTTGTTTTTGTATTTTATTTTATAATCCAATAAAATGTTATAAATTTGAAAAAAAAAATGAAGAATCTATATCTGCATCTATATCAGTGTTTCTCAACCTTGACAATTTTAAGGCATGTGGACTTCAACTCCCAGAATTCCACAGCCAGCAATGCTGGCTGTGGAATTCTGGAAGTTGAAGTCCACATGCCTTAAAATTGTCAAGGTTGAGAAACACTGATCTATATCAATTTTTTTAAACAAAAATAAGCCAATAAGTGACCACCAAAGTTGAATTGTCTGCTGGTAGGAAGTAGAAATATTCTGATTACATATCTCAACTAAGTGGCAAATATCTCCTAACCTTCGCTTGATAACATATACTGAGTTCCATCAGCATCCCACAGCACTTTTGCCCTTTGAAATAACACAGTGTGTGGGGCAAATGTTTTCTTGCTGTGAAAAGATCATCTGTTAACTGAATTTTAGAATTTCATGCCTTTGCTTTTTGACCCCCACATACTCAGTGATTTATATTGCCTTTTTAAAGAGAGTTTGCTGCATTTGGTATTAAACACAGCTATGTTTGGAATTGTTCATCAGTAATAAGAAGAGATTTTTGGAGCACGGTTTAACGTCTTTCCCCATTCAACAAAGCATTGCCCTCTTCTTAATTCCTACTAGGCTGAAATTTCTTGCTTGGTGGGACATGTTGTCATATAAGAAAGCCCACCTTAGCTATGACAAAGCAAGACAAAATACTTCAGTGTGTGGGCATTTAAAACCAGTTCTGATAAAAAGAACACTTCCATGCCAGAGAAACCATGTGATGTACTTCTTAAATTTTTGACTCATGCCAAAAGTAGTTCACTGTAAATTAAATTTTAAAAGGTGATTTATGACCACAGATGTTTACATAATTCAGATCTTTTCCAGAGTCACCACTCCTGTTCCAGTTTTGAGAGTCAAAATAGAAACAGTGCCATTGGATGCTTGTGCATGACATATCAGTACTGAGTATATTAGTACTGAGCATATGTGGATTGAACTTTGGTTTGCTTAGTATTTGCTTCTAAGTAAAATCTGCAAGGTCCAAGTCACACTGTTCCAGATTGGGAATGAGTGCTATGCATCTCAGAAAGTTTTGAGGATCACCCATAGAGATCAGTGCTGTGTCCTTTATTCCTCAACATTTTCATGTATGATTTCTATAATAAGATAGAAGGAAATGTTATCAGATCTGTAGACGATACAAAGTTGGGTGGGTTAGCTAGACTGAAATAAGATTCAAAGTGACTTTGATAGGTTTTGTTTTGATTTAGAGGTGCCTAACTGTGTTGAAAATTTTGCTGAAGAACAAAACAAAATTTAACAAATATGAAGTTCTTCTCTTATTAAACAAAATTTAAGAGTAGAGATGTAAGATGACAGAAACGTAGTTTTAATAGTACTTGTAAGAAATATCTTGGAATAGCAATTGATTGCAAATTCTGTATGAGCCAGAAATCTGATATGATTACAGAGAAATGTTATATTAGAGTGTATCAGCAGAAATACAACTTTCATATCACAGGAGGTAACTGTCCCCTTCTGTTCTGCTATAGCCAGACCTTAAGTACAGTGGCCAGATTTGGGCAAAACACTTTAAGAAGGATTCAGAGAAATTGGATCAACTTCTGAGAAAGGCGACAAAGACAATCAACTAGTATTTTGGAAATGGCTGAAAGTTGTTCTTGTGTGTCTGTGTATGTTTTAAATATTTAAAAGTTTTAAATATTAGAATAAAGTAGAATTATGGCCTGTAGAATTATCAGAAGGCCAAAAACATGACATTTGCCACTCCCGGAGGACAGATAGCCACAAGATTAGCAGGTCTCCTATTTCAAATATCTGGAAGTCTTCATTCTGCGAACAGCAGGAAACTCATGGGGACTATGTTGCTGTTGCTGAAAATGCACAGAGAAGTTCCTCTGCCATCCTTAAGAGAAAAGATGACCTCTATATTCCTGCAGCACTCTCCTTGCCCAACTAACTATGAGGGATGGTTTACGGTCCACATGGAAAAAGACAATAGGAATTAGACTCTCATCTTTGGGCTTTCTTTAGGCCTTCTTCTTAATATGGGATATGACCAAGCCAAAACACTCTGTAAATAGTATGCACCACACACAGAGCACCAACTGGAACTAACGAGGTCCTTTTATTTGCCATTATTGCCAATGAATGCAACAAGTATCTGCCCTTCTATAGCATTTTGAAATAATCTTGAGGTACCTAACCACCGGAGGGCCGATTCGGAAAGATTCCTCTACCTGGAGATAATGCTGCTATGACTCTGGACACACAGAGACAACAGATCATGCACCTCTTCAGTGCAGAGACATTTGTACTAGCCTCATCTCACCTTACTGCATAAATACCCAGGACACACATGACAATGTTGTACCTCGCCACTATTCTCAGATTCTAACCTTGCAGAAAATATAATTTTGCCAGGTTCTGTACAACAGCATTTAAAATTTATCACAAAATGACCTGTACCATAAACCAATCTTAACAAACATCTAGCTTATCATTTTAGAGTGCTCTGTATTGCTATAGATCTAGTCTGCTCCATAGTAAGCTTTTATGTTCTCCTATACCCGTCTAATGCTCCTATCTCTCCTTTTAGATTTCTTTTAAATTTGGGTATGTGTTTGTGTGTTTTGTTTTATTTTTTATTTTATTTTTTTGCTTTTTATAATTATTATTTTTAGACTTTGATGATTTTTTATGCTTTTTAATTGAGTGCACCCCATCCTCCTTATGCTGTTCCTTGATCATAATAAATGTTCGATTTGATAAGTAGAGAGCAACTTCCAGTTTTATCCAGAGGAAGAGCAATCAAGGATATGCTATGTGTACTTACCTTGCTTATTTATTTTTAGTTGGTTGGTAAAGTCCAGCATTTCCATGCCAACACTGATTCAAGACAACATATGAGTAGAAAGTATAAAATCATAACCAAAAGGGGAAAAAAATTGAAATGAAAAGAAACAAAGAACTATGGACTATATCATATGATACTACAATAAATCTCCTGTCACGAGCAGATGATGGTTTCAAAAGTTCATCTAAAAATGCTTCCAAAACAGTAGAGTCCAAAAGGCAAACCTCACAAGACTTCCTTATTCTATAGCACTAGATTATTGGGCTTTCCTTCAAGGAGTGTAACACAATGCCTCTGTTTTCAAGTCACAGTGAAAGGAGAAAAGCAAGAATGTCACTCTGTTCCTGTACTAGACTAACTGGGGAGTATGTCCTAATGAATTACATACACTTCTGAGAAGAAGGTTACAGCCCTGAAAAGTATAACATCTTCAATGGAATGTTCTCCATGTTTAATCGCTTTGCCTGTGGTGGGCTGGACTTGTGTCCACTTAATTTCACTGTTATTTTTATTATCTCACAGTTGCCTTGTAGTAGAAGTGAGAGTGTAAATAAGTCTATCTCCTCCTGTCACCTGCATTCCATGTGATTTCTCTTGGACACAAAGAAGTGTTCAGCCTTCCAAGTTAAGAGGAACTGAGTTTGTGGGAGTTGATGTGTATTCATGTCACATTTG